TGGAAGGGACTTTGGAGGTCTTCTAGTCCAATCCCCTGCTCAAGCAGGCTATACCATTTCAGACAAATGGTTGTCCAGTCTCTTTTTGAAAGCCTCCAGTGATGGAGCATCTATAACTTCTGAAGGCAAGCTATTCCATTTGTTGATTGCTCTCACCATTAGGAATTTTCTCCTTAGTTCTAGGTTGCTTCTCTCCTTGGTTAATTTCCAACCATTGTTTTGAAGGGTTCTGAAATAAAGGGAAATTGTTTAGTCTAACTGTTACTTTCTTGCTTTTTGTAATCAGCTTTTGCACTAGACAAATTTCATGCAATGTGGGAAACGTGTACATGGCTGCGATATACTGAAGGAGGGAATAAGGGAGTGTACAGGAATGACTGATGTCCTTATGATGTAATGGCTCTGTTGTCTGATTTTCATTGGTTAACAAAGTTTATGAAGCAATGCTACCAATTTTCTAATGCGTGGCACTTCTGGATGTAACTCTGCCAGCGTTCCAGATTGTGGGCCACCCAGCTGCTTAATTTGATCAAATAAAGTGCTGCTTGATCAAGAAGTCTCCGCTTGGGTTATCTGATTAGATTGATATGGTATCTCAAGTTCAAGTAAGGGACTGGGACCTTACATTTCCTTGTCTTGCCTTTTGGTGCTTTGGAAAATAGATTGACCTCCTTGTCTTTTTAGGAGCCCCTCAAATATTGGCATACTGCTGTCATGTCTCCCCTAATCCTTCTTTTCATTAGATTAGAGATATCCAATTCCTGTAACCATTCTTCATATGTTTAAGCCTCCAGCCCCGATCATTTTTGTTGTTTTCTTTGCACTCTTTCCAGAGTCTCAACAACTTTTTTATATTGTGGTGACCACGATTGGATGCAGTATTCCAAGTGTGGTCTTACTAACTTTGTAAAGCAACACTAATACTTTATGTGATCTTGACTCTATCCCTCTATTAATGCAACCTAGGATTGCATTGTCTTTTTGGCTGCTACTGCACCCTGTTGGCTCATATTTAAGTGATTGTCATTAGGACTCCAAGATTCCTGTCAGTTACTGGCATTAAGCCAAATTTCACCTAGTCTGTATACAGTTGGTTTTCTTTCCAAGGGGGTAAAACCTTACTTTTATCTACATTGAATTTTATTTTGTTAGATAGGGTCCAGTGTTCAAGTCTGTCCAGATCTTTTTGGATCTTGAGTTTGTCTTCTGGGGTGTTGGCTATTCCTGCCAGCTTAGTGTTGTTTGCAAATTTGATGTGGTGGTAGTGCTGTCTATCCCATATTTTTCTAACTTCCCAAGAAGTAGATTCTTGTGTACTTTATCAAATGTTTTATTGAAATCTAAGTATACTCTGTCCATAACATTTCACTGATTCACTAATTTAGTCATTTTATCGAAGAATAAATAAGATTTGTTAGGCAACCATGTTGGTTTCTGGTTAAAACTTGCTTTGCTTCTAAGATATTCGCAGATTTGTTGCTTATCTTTTCCAAAATCTTACCAGGTATTGATGTCAGGCTGATTGGTCTATAATTTCCTGGATCTGTTTTTTTTCCTTTTTTGAAGATGGAAACCACATCAGCTTTTTTCCAACCTTCAGGTAATTCTCCAGTGCTCCAAGAACTTTGAAAGATATGTTTCAAAGGTGCTGAAATCACATCTGCCAATTCCTTCAGAGCTCTGGGGTATAGTCTGTCAGTACCCGATGATTTGAATCCGTCTAGAGCTGAGAGATGTTCTCTTACCTTATTTTTGCATATTTTAATTTGTATTCCTAACCTGTCATTTATGGTTATGGAATAGAAAGTTGAAGTGGAACCATAATATTACAATAAGGAGAAAACTCCATCTGTAGCATAAATTACACTCCATTATGGAGAGAGGCAACAGGCAACCAAAAGGCTTGTAGAGCCCTTAATAACTTTCTTCCTAACTTTCAGTCCGACCAACAAACCTCTGCACTCTAGCTGTCTTCAGATCAGCAGCATAGATTTTGACAACCATTTCCTATTGTGTACTCAGCTACTCATTCAGGCAGAAGATAATAATAATAATAATAATAATAATAATAATAATAATAATAATAATAATAATAATAATAATAATAATAATAATAATAATAGTAAAGTTGGAAGGGACCTAAAGGTCATCTAGTCCAACCCCCTGCTCAGGCAGGAAACCCTATACCATTTCGGACAAATGGCTGTCCAGTGTCTTCTTAAAAACTTCCAGTGTTGAAGCATTCACCGCTTCTGGAGGCAAGTTGTTCCACTGGTTAATTGTTCTCACTGTCAGGAAGTTTCTCCTTAGTTCTAGATTGCTTCTCTCCTTGATTAGTTTCCACCCCTTGCTTCTTGTCCTGCCTCCAGGCGCTTTGGAAAATAGCTTCACTCCCTCTTCTTTATGGCAACCCCTGAGATATTGGAACACTGCTATCATGTCCCCCCTCGTCCTTCTCTTCATTAAACTAGACATACCCAATTCCAGCAGCCGTTCCTTATATGCTTTAGCCTCCAGTCCCCTAATCATCTTTGTTGCTCTTCTCT